ACCATAAAATAAAGGCATATATGGTGTAAGATGAATGTCGATATTATTTGTGTGAACAGATAAACAAATATTATACAACATGTTCGAAAAATACAAAAAAAACAAGAAAATATTTTGCAAATACAAAACAAATCTGGAAATACACAAATTGAAAAAAATAATTAAATCATTGTGCCTAAACTAAGAATTGATTTGTGGACTGAAATTCATGTAAAAAAAAATAATAGTCATAATAATAACAATTAATAAATAAATAAAAAATCAGTGTGGCTTAACTAAAAATTGATTTGTGGATTGAGATTTACAAAAAAAAAAAAAAAATGGATTCACAAGTGAAACATGGAGGAAATCGACTACATATTCAAACAGAAGGCTTCTTAGATCAAACACACTAATTAATTTCAAATTAAAAGCCTGTTTTAAATCAATAAATAAATCCTTATTTCAGCCTCAGGGGGGCAGCAGGGAGTCCGTCGACCTCTGATCTGGTTTCCTCCAGTTTTACCGCTCAGTCTCAGTGCTCAGTGCTCAGTGTCATGGGGTTGGAGGTTTGGGGAGATTAAAGGAGAAACGAGATCAGCCAATGGAAAGCTGCCAACTCATAACACACACACACACACAGACTACAATGCAGTGGCATTAATACTACGTCTTAATCCTGCGCTGGCTTGTTACATAATGTGTTTATGTTGTTGTTTAGTTAGCGTGAGCTTAAAGAGTCCACACTGTCACTGCAGGTTCAAATCCGCACCGTGACATGTGACAGGCTGTCTCACACACTCACACACACACACACACATATATACATATGTATATATGTGTGTGTGTGTGTGTGAGTGTGTGAGACAGCCTGTCACATGTCACGGTGCGGATTTGAACCTGCAGTGACAGTGTGGACTCTTTAAGCTCACGCTAACTAAACAACAACATAAACACATTATGTAACAAGCCAGCGCAGGATTAAGACGTAGTATTAATGCCACTGCATTGTAGTCTGTGTGTGTGTGTGTGTTATGAGTTGGCAGCTTTCCATTGGCTGATCTCGTTTCTCCTTTAATCTCCCCAAACCTCCAACCCCATGACACTGAGCACTGAGCACTGAGACTGAGCGGTAAAACTGGAGGAAACCAGATCAGAGGTCGACGGACTCCCTGCTGCCCCCCTGAGGCTGAAATAAGGATTTATTTATTGATTTAAAACAGGCTTTTAATTTGAAATTAATTAGTGTGTTTGATCTAAGAAGCCTTCTGTTTGAATATGTAGTCGATTTCCTCCATGTTTCACTTGTGAATCCATTTTTTTTTTTTTTTTTGTAAATCTCAATCCACAAATCAATTTTTAGTTAAGCCACACTGATTTTTTATTTATTTATTAATTGTTATTATTATGACTATTATTTTTTTTTACATGAATTTCAGTCCACAAATCAATTCTTAGTTTAGGCACAATGATTTAATTATTTTTTTCAATTTGTGTATTTCCAGATTTGTTTTGTATTTGCAAAATATTTTCTTGTTTTTTTTGTATTTTTCGAAAATGTTGTATAATATTTGTTTATCTGTTCACACAAATAATATCGACATTCATCTTACACCATATATGCCTTTATTTTATGGTATTGTGTTTTGTGAAAGGAATTGTAACTGGTTTTGAAAGACGCTATAGAATCATTGTTATTACCTGTCATCGGGGTGCTCCAGCTTCCTCCCACAGTCCAAAGACATGCAGGTTATTTGGTTAATTATACATCAGCTGTGCTTCTGGTTGCAGGGCTGTGCGGTTGCTGCTGGGCATTGCGTCCTCGCTACAAGCGACTGGTTGATAATATTTTCCCAGAAGACCCGGAGGTAAACACTTCTATGTTTAATTAAAGGGTCAGTTCACCCAAAACGACCCTCGTCTGTTGGCAGTGGTATCCATCTGTACGGATATTTGAGATTGGTCAACTTTTTAAGACAAATACCTAAAAACTACTTCCACTGATAGAGACACGTACAGGTGACATAACGTGTTCATTTGGGTAAAATGACCCTTTAACATGAGCAGGTGATTTTGTTATTTCTCATGGTCTGCCTGCAGGAAGACAAAATTACTTTAACGAAACTTTGTTTTCTCATTACACACTTTAACATTACTGCTTTTATTGTATTATTGCTACATGGCTTTTTGCGTTTTTATCATGATTCTTTCATTGTATTATTTAACAAAGTACTCAGTGTGGGAATCACCAGATGACACGATATTATTGCTATATTGTGATATGCTGAGTTTTGCCATACGATGTACTGCGATTAATCACCTTTTTTTTCCAGCTGCAAATTATTTTCCAATGAAAAACATTGTCATCAAAAATATGAGCAAGATGTCCCCATAAACCTTCAGTGTTACTGGATGTGTGTGTTCAGGACGGGCTGGTGAAAGCCAACATGGAGAAGCTGACGTTCTTTGCTCTGTCTGCACCGGAGAAACTTGACCGCATCGCCGCCTACCTGTCGGAGCGACTGACCCGAGAGCTGAACCGCCACCGCTACGGGTCGGTACACACAGCGCCACGACAACAACAACATGCTGACAGGTGTAACAGGAGGCTGACGTGTGTGTGTGTGTGTGCAGGTATGTGTGTATAGCTATGGAGGCGATGGAGCAGCTGCTGCTGGCGTGTCACTGTCAGAGCATCAACCTGCTGGTGGAGAGTTTCCTCAGCACGCTACGTCTGCTGCTGGAGGCCGACAGGCCACACCTCCATATCCTCGCCACCTCCTCTGTACGTACCACACCTCCATATCCTGCCCACCTCCTCTGCACGTACATGTGTCTGTCCTGAAATCCTCAGCTGTACTGACTCTTCCTCCGTCTGTCGTGCAGTTTGTGAAGTTCGCCAACATCGAGGAGGACACGCCGTCATATCACCGCAGCTACGACTTCTTTGTGTCTCGCTTCAGTGAGATGTGTCACTCAGAACACGAAGACGCCGACATCCAGAACAAGTCAGTGAGCTGTCCTTCATTGTTAACGACCTCTGCTGAGTTCATTCATTCATAATAACGAGGGTAATGTCCCTCTGTTACCATGGTGACCAACTAAAGACGAAACACTAAAAATCATACAATCATACTGTTAACATCTGAGGGTCTGACTAATACCTGGAACAGTCGTTACACCCCATAAAGTTCTTATGCCATGGAATAAATTAATTACCTTTTTTTTTTAAATAACTTGGGCTCAAGAATGATCTTATTGGAATTTGGTGGTCAGAGGTCAAGATCACAGTGATCTGGTCTGCTCGATGTTTGTGAATGTAATACTTCAAGAACACGAAATGTCTTGAAATTTGGCACAAACGTCCATTTGAAGTCACAATGAACTGATTAGAATTCGGTGGTCAGAGGTCAAGGTCACTGTGACCTCATCTGTCTCATTTTTGTGAACACGATATCTCCAGAACACCTTGTGGCAGTTCCTCAAATTTGGCACAAACTTCTACTTGGACTTAACCAAAAATAAACTGATTAGAATTTGGTGGTTGAAGATCAAGGTCACAGTGACCTGATCCATCAGATACTCATGAACATAATCTGTGAAGAACAGGTCGTGGGGACTCTTCAAGTTTGGCACAAACATCAACTCAAACTGAAGTGGTTTTAAATGTGTGTATGTGTGTGTAGAATCCGTGTGTCGGGGATCCGTGGTCTGCAGGGCGTGGTCAGGAAGACGGTGGACGACGAGCTGCAGGTGAACATTTGGGAGCCTCGTCACATGGAGCAGATCGTCCCTGCTCTGCTGGTCAACCTGCAGCGCCGCGCACACACCAACAGGTACACAGAGTTTTACCTGGACACTGAGTCACATGTTTCACTCAGGTGTCTTACCTGTGTGTGTGTGTGTGTGTGTGTGTGTACAGTGAGTCTCCAGTGGAGCAGACTGAGGTGTGTTTCAGGGAGCTGTTGAGTCGAGCTGCTTATGGACACATTAACAACGCTATCAGACCTGTGCTGATGTAAGATACGCACACACACACACACACACACACACTGTAGTATCAGTAGTATCAGTGGTACTTTGTGTGTGTTTTTAGGCACCTTGACAGTCACAGTCTTTGGGAAGGAAAAAGTTTTGCTGTTCAGTGTTTTCAGATCATCATGTTCTCCATCCAGGTCAGTAAGTACACTGACTATAGTACTGATACCTCCTGAAGCACACTACTTGATTCATCTTAACTACACTTCCCTTAACTGTACTTCCCTTAACTCTACTTACATTAGCTGTACTTAAATGTGTTGACTGTCACTCTATTTGTCCTGAGTTGTACCTGAACTGAAGTGAACTCTGCCCCCCTCAGTCCCAGCACTCCCACCTGGTGATCCAACAGCTGCTGGGTCACCTGGACGCTAACAGCAGGAGTCCGGCGTCAGTCCGAGCTGGGATCGTGGAGGTCCTGTCTGAAGCTGCGGTTATAGAAGCTTCTGGATCTGTAGGTCAGTGTGTTGGTATCTGCTGTGTGCACACATGAAGGGTAACACTTCCACCAGTGCTTACCTGTGTGTGTACGTGCAATGTAGGTCCCACTGTGCTGGAGGTGTTCAACACGTTACTGCGACAGCTCAGGCAGAGCGTTGACTACCAGCTGACTGGTTACTATGACAACGCCGGAAAACACAAAACCACCTCGACTGAAGAGAAGACGCTGCAGGACGCCGTCATAAAAACTATTGGTGAGGCTCTGCTTGTGTTTTGTTTTCTTGCTGTTACTGAACAGTTTTTACTGGAACCGCTCGTCTCGATTTATGGTCTCTGTCCAGGATCCTTCGCCAACACGCTGCCCGTCTACCAGAGGTCAGAGGTCATGCTGTTCATCATGGGAAAGATCCCCGTTCCTGGAATCTACCCCGCCCTGGGGTCACCCAACGCCGGGTAGAGCCCCCGTTCCATGTTTTAAACATTTGTACCAGCTGCAGACAAACATGTGTAAAGTGGTCACATGTCTGTGTGTGTTTCAGGTTTGAAGGCAGCAGAATGATCCAGGTGATGTTGCTCAAGTCTCTGCTCCAGGTGAGGTGACTCTGATCTACTGCCTGATCTACCTCCAGTACCACACTTCCCATCTACTGATCTAGCTGCTGGAAAATGTACTACCTACCAAAATACTTAATGAACAATTTACTGAACTACCAACCTACCAACTGAATGACCTATAGTACCAAACTACATTCTTACTGATCTACCTTACTATTTAACTACCTACTGAAAGATTTCCTGAACTACCACCTTATCAACTGAAATACCTTAAGTACCAACCTACCTACTTATAAATGTACTTACTCAACTACCTACTAAAAAATTTACTTTACCTACTGAAGTACAACTTTATCAGTTGAAATACAATCTAGTAGCAAACAGTCACCTTACTTAACTCCCCACAAAAATATTTACTGAACTACCAACTTATCAACTGAACTACCTTAGGTATCAAACTATCCACTTTCTGATTAACTTACCTCCTTAACTACCTACCAAAATACATACTGAACTACTTACCAATCTACCAACGCATCTACTGAAATGCCTCTGGCACTGAACTACCTACTTATTTATCTACCCACCTACTGAACTACCAACCAAACTACCCTCTGAACTACCCTTCAGAACTACCCACCAATCATCCCTTGTACCAAACTACCCACCAGAATGCCTACAAATAAAACTACTTACTGAATCACCAAACTACGACCCTTGAAACTACCGACTGATCTACGTAATTACAAAACCAGCGACTGAACAACACCGCACATTACCCACCAATGTATAAATACAAAAGTTCTCTCCTCTGTGTGAAGGACTTCAGTCTATGACATGTATCTTCCCCCACCCCCTCCTCTTCCTCCTCCTCCTCCTGCTCTTCTTCCTCCTCCTCAGGTGTCAGAGCGGTATGAAAGCAGTAACCTGTTGATGGCGCTGCCCTCTTCCTTCCTGGAGCCCCTGCTGTCCTTCACTCTGATGGAGGACCCAGAGATCCGTCTGCTGGTCCTTTCCATCCTCACCTCACTCATTGACAGACGCCACAATGCCACCAGACTCAGCGCTGCCAGGTATGACGCAGACACAGTGATCAGATAGGACTGGTCCTTGTGGGTTTGCTAGTGATGTTGAAGTCTGTGGTCGGTTGGTGCCACCTCGTGGCAGACAGGTGTTACTGCACACAGCTGCTGGATGTCGGTAGATCACTGTGTCTGTGTTTACAGCGTGACGTTTGATGTCTCAGCGTTGGAGCTGAAGGAGGACAGGTGCTCCCGACAGGACAACTTGTTCATCAGGAAGGTGAGAATGAATACACATCTGTACTTAAAATAAAGGTAAGGTAAAATACAAAATGAGGGAGGTAAAATAAGATGCCTAAAACTGGCCACAGCTCTCGCTAGCGTGAGGGCATGAAGATCAGATTTACTCTCTATGCAGACAGACAAGGTCACAGTGACCTTGACCTTTGATCACCAAAAACTAATCAGTTCATTGTTGAGTCATATGTCCCATCCTTGTGAACACCATATCTACGGAATGCCTCGAGGGAATTTCTTCAGATTTGGCACAAACATCCACTTGGACTTGATGATGAACTCGTTAGATTTTGGTGGTCATAGGTCAAAGGTCGAGGTCACTGTGACCATGTCTCTCCCATTCTCTTAAACATGACATCTCAAGAACAGCTTGAGGATATTTCTTCAATTTGGCACAAATGTTCACATGAACTCAACAATGAACTGATTAGATTTTGGAGGTCATAGGTCAAGGTTGCTCTGACCTTGCATCCATCTCATTCTCATGAATGAGATATCTCAAGAACAGCTTGAGGAAATTTCTTCAATTTGGCACAAGTGTCCACTTGGACTCACCAGTGAACCGATTAGATTTTGGTGGTCAAAGGTTACAGGTCAAAAGTCTGCGTTACTGTGATCTCTTTCGTCTCATTCCTTTTTGCTCACTCTGCTGCAGTTCTTGTCAGTACTTGTTTCTGTCATCTGTACTTCTTGCAGCATGCGCAGCGTCTCTACCGTCACGTCTACCTCACCTGTAAGGAGGAGAGCAGTGGGCGGGACCACTACCAGGCCCTTGGCACCTTGCTGGCTGTAGTCAGTCTGGAACTGGCCAATGAAGAGGTGGTGGTAGACCTGATCCGCCTGGTCCTTGCTCTGCAGGTGCACACAGCTTCCTTAATAGTAATGATGATGGTGAGGTTGAGCTGCTCTCTGACTAACTGTGATTGGCCGGTCAGGAGCTGGCATTGTCCAATCAGGAGTGTCTGTCAGTGTTCAACCGCTGTGGAGTTCATGCCATCTGCGCCGCCTTCCTCCACCTGTTGTCCCAGCTCGGTCCTCCTCCACCTCTCCACCATCATGTCACGCAGGTAAATCCCGAGTAGGGGCAAGCAAGTCTCGAGTCAAGGCTTAAGTTAAGACAGGCAAGTCCAGAGTCTATTAAGTAGTCAAGACATGCAAGTAGTTAGTTAAATCCCAAGTCAAAACAGGCAAGCTCTGAGTCAAATCTCAAGTCAGGACAGGCAACTCCCAAGTTAAATCCCAAATCAAGACAGGCAAGTCCCAAGTCAACACAGGCAAGTCCA